ATAATTACCGGCCCCCTTAGTTACCGGCCCGCCTCCCAGATTTCGATACTGTTTCTATCAGCATGAGATTACCACAAATTACGTGTCGGTCGAACTGGATCGAAGAGCAGACGGAGACATTCAGCATCTGTTTGGATTGTTGCTGGATCGCCGTGGCATCGATGAAACTTAGACTTTTCAGACTGCCGCCTCATGTGTTCATTTTTCGTTTGTTTGTTGAGCTTGTTCATGGCTCTGGAGAACCGTCGGGGTCTCGCCTCGGGCGTCCCGAGTATTTGGCCAACGAGGTGGACTGCCAATAATTGCGCGGATTAGGAGAATACACACAGTGGATTGAACACGATCTCCGATCTCATGACGACTCCCTAATCGATTGGATTATTTTACCGTTTGGCGCCCAGCGACCCGCCTGATGATATACCGTCATGGAGTTGATCTTTTTAACCAAATTATCCGACCAGACCTGATTTTTGAAGGAGGAGTTCTTAACTGGAACTGTGTGTGCAAAGTGAAGGGAGGTGGGTGGTCATGCAACCGCAGTTTACAATGGTATCTAGAGGCAGAACATTGGAATGCCCGGTTATACTACACCGGTTATACTACACCGGTTATACTACCCCGGTTATAATACTGCGTAGCACGTGTTAGGTTGAATGGTAATGTGTTTAATGATGAAGCCTATTTGGATTGTTGTTGTATGGCGGTAGTGATGGTGTTAATAAGGCCTAGAGCTTGGGGTAGACATTCGTTGGATATATCTGTTTTTCGTTGGTTTAGTTCCAGCAGTCGTTGGGCTGTAATTTGGCTGGCTTTAGAGAAGACGCTATTGCGTATATTGATAACGTCTTGTCTGACTTGAGCGGGGTCCTTTTGGGGGTACAATCTTTTAACTTGGGCAGGCCACACACGTGCGATAAGATCGCGTGCTAGAGTTTCGACTTCTTTGAAGCCGGGGTAATCTTTTATTGCTGCTAGCGACTGGCCGCCGCCTTGACCGCCAGGAAGTCCTTCGCAAAGTAGGAGCCAAGTTATACCATTGATGGGTTTTCTGTTGAGGCCGGTGGTGCTATAGGTGAGAAGTTGTAGGCCTTCATCATCTTCACCTTCGTGACCGGCGGTTATGCGAGCGGTTGATACGCCGGGTATGATCCGTTGCACGGCCGTCTCGCCGGTTGCCAGTGGTTGGTCAAGGGGTCCAAGTTGGCGTGTATAGCTTGCGCGCGCGACGATGAAAGCTTTCTTTTTGTTGCTGAAGAGCCCCGCTTTCTTATCGCCGAGAGTGGCAGCTTGTTTGAGCAGGTCGTTGGGGGCAAAAGTGACGTCGAAATGTGCCGCTTCCGTCAACGCCGAGTTACTTAAAACCCGACCACTCTGTAATGTAACTTTTTGTACACCAACGTATCCTTCGATCGGCAGAAACATTAACTGGTCAACCTTAGTCCTCGCACCCGAAGACATTTGGACCATCCCATTCATCTTAAACGAGCATTGGTCCGCCATTGTCCTAGTCACACTCGGACCAAATTTCGATGACTTTAACGAAACCGTTTTAGCACTTGTCTTCATATCTGATGACGTAAAGCTCACCAACCTCTGAGCACTTGGCACTGAAGCAAATCGTAACAACTCTTGCGTACTTGGATAACTATCGCATCCACCACAAAATAATACATTCGCTCCTGATATCACATGCGATGTCAAACAACCTCTCATCGAACAGAACACATGACGATTAGCCTCCGGTACAATCTCATAACCATAAGCACCAAGCCATAAAGATGCCACTATGCTTCTGCTCCACATCTTCCTAACGACTCTACCTCCGGACAACAAAAACAAACAAACAATGCACCTCGGTTCGAACCGTACTCTCGACCATAATTTCTCTCCACGAAAAAACCACGACCAACACAAACCTTATCCATAACGAACCCGGTTATCATCCATAACGAACCCGGTTATCATCCATACCCCTATACCTATACCCCTATACCTATACCCCTACACGTATACTATATTTCCCTGCCAGCTCAAATATAACGTAATAGTTACGTGCAGCATTACAAAACAATGACTGCTAGCGCTCTGTAACAGCGTCGCTGTAACAAACATCGTCCCGGGATGACGATGGGCCGTAGTAGTGATCGGAGCGGTCTCAGCATGGTCCGGAATCAACCTTCGGCGACAGATTTCTAGATCGCTACAGCTCGCTTTGTAAGTCATCTTCGTCCACCGTATCACTTGAGGAGTCCGTCAGATATCCGGCATCATCCAAAGGCAGATCCGAACACTTCGGTGCAAGCTTCGGCTTCGACTCCAGAAACCACAAAAAAACAGCTGCCAAGCTGCTCACTAGAAGTGCAGATGCTCCCAGTCCAATGAGGTGCCCTGATGAGTCTTCTCCGGACTCCTCAGAACCCATGGGACTGGGCTGCACGGATTTCATAGTCCTGATGGCTTATTTTCTTCCACAATAAATTCTCTGAAGCGGCTGGTCTTTTAGAGGTAGCAATCTCCCACATAAGAAGACCCACCACCATCATTTCCTTACCCAAGCTTGTTCCCTCCCTCCCTTTGATCCATCCATCCCCCATTTGGTCCGTGTTCGAAATATATGCGTAAAGATGTTGATGATAAAAGGGTAAACGAGGATGCTTCGACGGAACGCAAATTGTGACGTTTTTCCGCTCACATGTTGTTCCGCTCACATGTTGGGGACGTAGGCATATCCGGTGACTACGTATTCTTGAGCACGTGGCGCCGAGGTGACGATTCGTTGTCCCGAGGCACAAGTGTGTGCTAGGGGCGCACACGTGTGCTGCGGCGGCGGCGGCGCACACGTGTGCTGCAGCGGCATCGGCGCCGGCAGCGGCATCGGCGCCGGCAGCGGCATCGGCGCTGGAGGCGCCTGCACAATTACGGGGGGAGCAGGCGGCGGGGGCGCGGGTCGTTTCGAGACTCGCTCTTGGCGGCGGTCTCGTCGGTATTTCCAGAACGCCAAAGCCGTAGCGAAAACGCCTGCCACTATGAGGCCATCGACTAGAGTGAAGGAGCTGCGTTCTTCCGGTTCCTGACTCGTCTCTGTGACCGTGTGGGTCATCACGGGGTAGGTGTGACCAGTTTGCTGTACGGTCTCATGGCAGTGTTGTGTAGTGAAGCCGCCTTGGCATTGCTCTTGCGCCACAAATCCATGCTGTCCTTGATAATGACCGGCGTAGCACTTGTCTTCCACCAGGTATCCCTTCTGACTACCGGTGGGATGGGTCAGGATAGCGGGTACACCTCTCATGTTAACTCGCTTTAAAAATTGGCCGTGAAACCTGACGGTCAAACCGTGTCTGGGTCTAACAATTCTGGCAGTGGATGCTACTGATGGTGGATGCTGCTGACAGTGGATGCTACTGATAGTAGATGCTACTGATAGTGGATGATAGGCCAGGCTGGTGTTGAGATTTTTTGGGCTACTGCCCTCCGGTTTTCGCTAAAATATGTATCGGCCCGGAGGCCGTCTACCGTCGCGTTCCTACGAGGAGCAGTGTCCGATCGGACGGAGCGATCCAGCAGGGCAAATACCTGTAGTGATAGCACCCCCTTCCTACCCAGTATTTCCACCGGGGTCACGTGGGTACTAACTAGGTAGGCACGTGGGTACTAACTAGGTAGGCACGTACGTCGCTGGACAGGTGATTGCTGTTGTAGGTGGGTACTAGTAGTCATTCGTACACGCGGTCTTCTTCGCGAATTCCGTCGTGGCACTCGATTCCTCGGAGTACCAGTTCAATGGTCAATGATAGTGTTTATGTGAGGCTCCCAGTGATCGAGTCAGGGAACACGCCAATAAGTGTTAATTCTTACGCCACTCCACCACAAGTGCAGGACACAAGTCGAGCTATCTCTGGGGTCTCGACTAGTGCTGGCAGCGCCGATTTAAGTGAGTTCGGTGGCTGGCTCTTAGACGCAAACGTATTAGGCAACAACCAACGTAAGGCGGAGCCGGCGCTCCCCCTGCGGTTCCAGTCATACTTTACTAACCGAGAAGTCACCCCAGCCCCCAGCAGCGGCTCACTCAGACATCAGTCGCTCGCAAGGCCACCCCACCCTCAAAAATACGAAGACAGGCTGGCTAGGATCGAACGGAAATTAGACTTAGTAAACAAACACCCAAGTCGACAAACACCCCATATATATTACACCACAAGTCGAGTACGGTTTAGTCACTTGTATCACCTTGATATATCGCGCATACATGCGACACACACGTGTGTTACTGGTCGTGTGGAGGAGTGTTTAGTTCGAGCTTCCTCTTTTTAGATAATCATGCACTTGCATCTGAACAGAGATACTTAGTTTTTTTTTCATCATGACATCCTATGAACCCGAACTACGAATCGCGCGCATAAGCAGGCTAATTGACATCTACGTATGATCTGGGGTTGGCTCTGGGGTTGGCTCTAGGGTTGGCATTGACGTGTGTTGGATGGGATATTATTGACGTATGTTCTGCATTTAGAGCGCACTTAAATCGTTTGTCGAAGGCCAGCGAATCTCAGAACTCAATGTAAGTGGCAAAGAGAAATAAACAAATTCTGTTAGGAGGAGTTCAAAGAAAACGTTTATGCGGATTTGACCAATCAGGATGACTCACTCACGGCATTGGGGGAAGAGATTAATCAGATAGCGGAACAAATCGCACAAAACGGCGAGTGTCTGCGCAACCTACTACAGCAGCACAAAGACTCCGTCTTCCCTGTGACTAAACCAGCGGTGCCAGAATTTGATGGCAGCCATATCGAACGTGCGCGAGAGCAACTGAATAATAAACTAGACACCCTCTTACTACTGAGCCCCGGAACGACGGGGACGTCAATACACGCTCTAGCCTCTTCTGCCCAACCACTCCCACTTAATACTTTACCCCCACCCCCAATTGCTCCCATACCACCACTATCGGGTGGTGCGATGCCCCCACCCGGAACTGTGCCCTTGCTCGGAGCCATACCTCCACTGACGGTGTCGGCGGAGGGATCCGGCGAGTCGATTATGGAGTCGGCGCCATCTGGGCTACCACCGCCATTCACTCTGCGGCCGGCGGCATCCATGCCGCGACTGCCACCTGGTTCGCCAGCACTCTCAGCGTCGCTACAGCCCGCGGGGCTTCCTCTGGAGGAGCTCCGTGGCTCGCTCGCGGGTGCCCGCTCGGCTGACCTCTCGCAACCGTCCTTCTCAGCACAAGACTCCGTGCGTGGGTCCTTTCCCAGCCCAGGCGGCTCCGTACCCGCCTGGGGGTCCGTGTCCGGTCAGGGATCCGTACTGCCCGGGCCCGGGCTTCACTCCGTCCAGAAAGCCGAGAGCGACACCGCCTTGGCCGAGGTTGCCGACCCACTGCACATTCCCGACCCTATCCTGCCGGACCCAGTGCACCACCGGGAGCCGGTACCGCCAGAGCCGGTGCTGCTAGCGCCGGTACTGCCGGAGCCCGTGCTGCTTCAAGTTCTGGGTGACACGCCGGAGAACGACTTGTTCACCAGCGCCGACCAATTCGAGAGTGTTGACCAACCAAACCAACGATTTGGGAACCACCCCCCGCCTGTCCCTCCGACGGCTTATTCCGGCCCTGACTATCTTAACCCCAGCCGCCAAACTCAAGCTCAAGTACAGATGCCCAACGCTGAACACTTCGGTGCCGATAAACGGACTGAGTGCTTAGGGCAGAGCGTCGACTCCACACCCCTCGGCTTCACACCTGGTCTAGAGGCCCCACCGCCTCTCGAGACTCCACCCAAACTCGAGACACCCCCGCCGCTGTTTGAGTCCTATGGCGAAAGGTGGAACCCAGGTCCCGCCGACCCGGAGCAGTGGGTCGCCGAACCAGACCAGTTCCAAGAACATTTTAATTATATCGGCGGAGTTCAGTGAAAAATCATGTCCGCAAACCTGTTAGAAGAGGTACGCCCACACACCAGCACTGCGTGGTTTTCACACACCAGCACAGCGTGGCTTTCACACACCAGCAACCAGCACTGTGTGGTTTTCACACACCAGCATTGTGTGGTTTTCACACACCAGTGGAAGCCACATCGTGTGTGTGTAGTTGAACAGTCAGTTGTCGTCTGCACGCGCGTTGGAGCAGCAGATCTTCATGGCGCGGCGCAAGTTGAACGAGAACTTGTTGGCGACTAAGCGGGCGGAGGCGGCCCTGGAAGAGATTACATCAGGCGAACCACCTAAAAGAACTTTCAGCCAAGCGGGTCAGGCTTTCGTAGCTGTGCCCACGGAGACCATGGCCCAGAATCTGCGCGACGAAATCGCTGCTCTGAAAAACAGTCAAACCGTTCTGAAAGAAACGGATGCCAAGTTCGTCGAACGTTTAAGGAACAAAAAGAACGAACTCAAGCAGCTTGAAGACAAAATTAAAGCCACACCTGTTAAAGCCAACTAGCCAAGGGAGCAAACTCGTCATCTGTCCGTCGTCGGACGATTATAATCGTTGAGGACGATTATAATCATTGTGCTATATGCGTCGTCAGCGGTAAGGGTTACGGAACGGCTGGTGTTGTTGCCAGTGATGTTCGGGCATAATTTCTGGATCGGTCTCGAGGGATGAACAACTCCATCTGACAAAGTTACGTCTCATATAGAAGTTTTCAAAGAAAACAACCACCCTCCGAATGGATAGATCTATTACTCATCACAACCCGAATTTGACTGGTCTACTGTAGAAGCACCATCATCCGCGGAGTCGGCGGATGAGTGGTCATCGTCACCACCAGAGTGGTCTTCATCAGAGTCGTTGTCATCGAAATGGTCATCGCCTGAGCCGTCTGCATCACCAGAGTGGTCATCATCAGACGGGTGTGAGTGGTGGTCGCTGTCTGAGGAGTGGTCGTCTGCTACCTGGGTGTCGGCAACGACTGCGTCTGATGAATTGTTTGTGGGTACTTCCGGACTGAGTACTTCTTGACTAAGTTTTATATTGTTGAATACGCCGTCATGTACTTGGGCTAGTTGGAGAGTGAGTCTTGGTCCAAGTTCGATGAGTTCCATTTGATTGGCAAGTTGTTTTTTATGGTCATCATCTTCCTCAAGTAATTCTTCCTTGACTTCTTGTTTGGGGCGTTCTAATTTTTGTCGTTTAGTTCTTACGTTGTTTCGTTGAGTGCGTGCATGGTTGCGTGCATGGTTGTTGAGTACGACGTAATGCCGTATGTCGAATGTCCTAGCGCCTGCGTAGCATACAATGACCAGTCGTCGAGTAGGAGTTTCTGAAGCGCTGACAGCGGGGAACATGGAAGCGAAAAGTAGTGAGACTTTAGCGAGCTGGTCGGGATGTACGTTATTATCGATAGGTTTCTTGAAGCCTTGGGTTACCATAATGGGTGGCTGCTTGAAGTCGTTGAGGGTCGAGCGACTTTGAAATTGTGTCCGTCTCACATCTGCTGAAAGGGCATAATTGACTACATCAAAGACACCTGTAGGACCCTCACCACCTTTGGTTCTGCAGATCGTCAGCCGCACACCAACCTTGGGCTGAGACATGGCCCACATATGTGATATATGCAACATTCCACCCACGTGCAAGTAATCCTTAATACTCGCTTTCTTCCTCTCCTCCAAATTCGACGCCGTCCAAGGTAAAACCATCCTACGTATGTCACGAGATAATTTCTTAACAGACTTCGTTACACTACCTATCTTAAATACCATGGAACGTGGAATGCGCCGCAGACTACTCTCATCCAATTCAGCATGAGTCCTCTTCTTTCGCCGATGACCCATCACCCTAACAATTTAATATTCGCCCCACTTCATATACCAAATCGGCTGTTGATACCAATCGGCTGTTGACTAATCACAAGGGTAACAGAACCGGGACGAGAACGCACCATGGCTGTGGTCAGCTGTCATGGGAAGACGACGACAGTCAGCTTGTGACTGTGAAGATCATCAGTCTGTGATTCACATGAGTCCAAAAGCCATGTTTGCAACCCGGCCATAACCTAACTCTTCGCATGCTTTTCGTGTGACCCATACATCTTCTCTCGTAGAAGCCAGCAACGATCCAAGGAGAACCCCTCCCTGGACAGCTCCTTCTGTAAATTCTGGTGACAGTAAAAAAGTTCTGCAAAACAAACCAGCATAACGGTGAGCAGAAACCATACCCCACTCCATTCCCATGTTCCATTTCCACGCATGCATGTCCCTTCATCCCTTTCTCACTTGGATATGAGTTTATTGATTTGAGTTTCTTCTATTCTATGTGATATTCCAGGAGTATCTTTAAGACCACCACTGATAATAATTTGATCCTTCATATCTGCTCGTCCCCATGTATCAAGTATAGATAATGTTTCAGCTAGCATAACAGGAATAGATCTTTCATTAGTAAATAACATCTCATATGGTACATAACGCTCTCGATCTATCATTATCTGATTTCCATCTGGTAAAGTAACTTTTGTATTAACACATTGAACATTAGTTGCTCCATTTAATACTTCAAGATTCTTATAAAGATCCCCATAACAAACAAATCCATATCTTCGCATTATATAATTTCCAACCATGTAAGACATAGCAGATGGGATATCATACCCCTTATTTAAATATAACATTTGTAAGAACTGACTGTGGGTAGAAACGTATAAATATGTGTCATGTTCGCACGCAATATGTGTTCGCACGCAATATGTGTTTCGTGTGTTACTTGACTAATTTAAGTCCTCCAATTTTGTTGTTTGTAAACATCGATCCTTTTAAGATAGTACCATCATATATGGTACAACATGATGCACCTGTTTCTCCAAGCTCTAATACAATACCATCCGTTTTTGCCATTCTAGCTATAGTACATGATTGACTTGGTGCAATTAGAAACTTGTTTATCTCTTCTCTTTCAGTCATTAAATTTTCGATACAATTAGAAATATGTTGGTCAAATGGTCCTTTACATATAACTACTCTATCTAAGCTATAATTTGCCTCATCAATAGAACCCAACAACTTATTCATGATCATTCTTTTTCTAGGCCATGTATCAGGACGAAGGATCGAGTATTGACCGATACTTTGTAAATTTTCATCTTCATTCAATCCGCAAACATGAAGATCTTGTTTTCGCATTTTACTCAAACTGAAGCCTGTATTACGCAGGAATTCAATGGCATCCAGCCCAATTAAATCATGCGATATGACGCCAGAGGAACTTAAAATAACCAACGATATAATTACACGGCACATGACATACCTGTGTGTGTATACGACACAGTGTGTGTACAGATTCTAGTTACGATGTAGTTATGATCCAGGTACATATCATCATCAGATCACAAAGGGGGGAGTACTTTAAAATGAATCCTGGAATGCGTTTAACAAAGTCTGGTTTCCCATCGCATACGGTATGGGATCTGAAACATCTAAATAGAGACCTGTCAACTTTGCGGTAGATAATGTGTTAGACACATTCCGTCGTAAGACACGTGTGTGTCATTCGGTCGTGTGTGTGATTATTGTACGTGGCGCCAAGATCGATAGCAGTGATAGTATTTGTCATTTGTGAAAAAATGAGAGTGTTGGCTGTTACGGCTAGTGTAAGTGATTGTAGTCGAAGTAAAAGTTTATTGTTACGCTTCGTTGAAGGTTTAAGGACAGCAGAAAATTTGGAAGTGAAGATTCGCGATGTAGGAAAGACGCCACCACCGCATTTGACAGAGCTTCAGCTTA